TGATATTTAATCTTGGGTTCCTATCCATCTTCTTTATCACTTTGTTGAACTGTCTTCCAAGCAGAACTAAGGCATTAGATATTCCTTCATTTGTATCCAGGTCACAATCCTCCTCTTCATCTTCAGTATTGGTTACAAAACTATGCTTTTGTTTTTCTTTTCAGATCTTTCATTGATGCTTAAATCAAATGTCTGAAGGGATCCAACAAGTTCATCCACTCTCATCTTGTCAATGTCTTGTGCTTCTTCTATGGCAGTCACTTTCATATCAAATCTCTTGGGGAGAGATCTAAGCATCTTTCTCACCAATTTATCTTCAAGTATTTTTTTCTCCTAAAGCACTGGATGCATTAGCAATCTCAAGAATGTTCATATGGAAGTCATTAATACTTTCATCATCCTTCATTCTATGATTTTTAAATTTGGTGGTGAGCAACTAAAGTCTTGACATCTTAACTTTGGATGCGCCTTCATGGGTAGATTAAAGAATCCCCCAGGCATCCTTAGCAACTTCACATGTGTTTGTTAATCTGAAAATATTCTTGTCAATTCCATTGAATATAGAATTCAAGGCTTTAGAATTTCCAAGTGCAATTTCATCCTCTTCTTTAGATCAATCTTCTTCTAGATTTAACACAGAAGTAGGTTATCCACCTTCTCCCAATTTTACAGGGTGTTTCCATCCTTTTAAGATAACTTTCCAAGCCCTGCTTTCCAGAGATTTTAGAAAGGCCACCATACGTGGTTTTCAATAGTCATAATCACTTCCATGCACAATGGGTGGTATGTTCACAAATTCTCCTTCCTTGTCCATAGTACCAGAAATTATATTCCCTAGATCTCACCCAGATATAGAGCAGGATGCCTTCTCTAATACTAATTGAAATTCTGGTATTAGATATGTGATGTCAAAGGAGATATCACGACACAAATATCCGAGGATAATATAAAATGCAACAATATTAAAAGCAGTAAAAACACAAGGGATTATTAACCTACTTCGGTGTACAACAACACCTACTCTGGGGGCTACCAATCCAGGGACAAATCCACTAAATAGTATCAGTTCATAGACCCTCAGTAAACAACCAGTTTACAATCTAATTACTTAATCACTACTCGTTCTATACTTCTACCTAAGACACACCTAGGTACGAGGCCCTCCTCAAATCCCTTCAATCACTAACAGTGAAAAACAACAGATTTATCAAGTTTGAAAAACCTCAATCATTCAATACTTAAAAGCTTATGAATGATCTACAACTTACAACTCAAATTACAACTCAAGTATTGAAACAATACTAGAGTGTATTACAATTAAAAGATTCAGACTTCTAAAACACACAAAGTATATTTTTACTCAATTGTTGCAGATATACGAATAAGGATGCAAGTCCTTATAAAGGCGCAACAACTTCTTTATGGGCTTGGGCTGAAAAACAAATATTTCAATATTGAATCCCTTGAATATCTCCATGAAAATAGGCCAAGATATAAACCATAAAGATAAGACAAATAGAAAAATATTCCTCCATATTTTTTGCAAGCTATAAACCATAAAATCTGAATAAGGCATGCTTAAAAACAGGAAACAGAAAATCTGAAAACAAGTTCAGATCAGCAAGCAGATGTTAAAACATCTGCTTTGACATCATTCAAAATCAATTGAGATTATTTACTTCAAATGTCAAGACATTAAGCAAAACATTACCAAAGCAGTGTTTTACCAAAATTGCTGCCAACGAACACTTACACCCTGGTTACCCTAACTCAAGAATCTGAGAAAATAGCTACTGACTTGAGGTAACCGGTTACCATAATTGGGTTATCCGTTACCACGTAACTGCTTTGAAATTTTTTGTGAATGAAATGGATGGTAACCGGTTACCATAACCGGGTGACCGACTACCCTCGTGTCAGAGGTAGTTTTAATAGATTTTTAAGCATTTTCAATGGCTTGGATATTTAATAAAACACCAAGTTTCCATACATTCAACACATGATTTTGCATAATTCATGGGTTAGATTCAAATAACACATGATTGATATAAGATCAACAATTAGGCTTCATGCAACATCAACCATTTTATTTAACAATTAAGCACTTTCATGAATCAATCACTTAAGTTGAATAAGCACTTAATTCAATTATCCAATCCCGGATTTACACATGATTGTCAAATCAATTCACAATTCTAGCACTATATCTAAGTTCTCAATTTAAAATTCACCTAGATTCAATTCATGCTTGATCAAAAAAGTGCTTCTCAAATAATCACTTATTTCAAAAGTGCTTAATTTAAGAAAACTCGCCGATAGAAGTGAAGGGGAGGCTTAGGTATAGAGTTTGCAACGAACGGATCGAAGATCGAAGAAGAATTGTTCTTGATCTTGACTTTGGATTCTTGATAAAATTGTTGTTGTGTTCTTGATCAAAAGGTAGAGAAAACTTTAATTTGATCCTTGAGGATTGGGGGAATTATTAGACTTGTGTTTTTGAGAATTGGTGAATTATGAGAGCCTCCTTCTTGAAAATTCATATTTCAAGATTATATACATGGGCCAATTGGGTCTTGGATGAGAAATTGAATTGGGTATCCATTTGATATTGTAAACTTGATATGTACAAAAAATGTAAAGTTGATCAATAATCTTGTGAAACTCTATAAGTTATTCAACTATGGATTTGCACTCTATCATTCAGAATGAATAGAGTTTCTGTTTCAGATACAACCTGTGAGCCAAAGACTTTGTCATATACAATGATTCAAGTTTTTCCCACATAGCAGCCACATTTTTCTCCCTGGAGACTTCTCTTAGAACTTTATCCCTGAGGCACAAGATAATGGAACTTTTGGCCTTATCCACCATATCGGTCTTCTGTACCTGTGTAAATCCTGCAGGCATCAATTCTTCACTTTTTAAAGCATAAATACACTTCTCTTGAATTAAATTTCTTGCATCTTAATTTTCCACAACCTGGAGTGGTTGTTTCCTAAAATTTTCTCGATCTCCCATATGCCCATGGTACTCACATGTAAACAATACCTCTCTGATTCATGCTCATTGCACCATTTGTTGAGAATCTTGTTGTGAATTATGATAAAATTTAATATTAATTTATGAGGTAAAGAATATTAGAAACCAAAATAAATGGTCTACAACAATAATAATCCATACAAAGATAATATATTAGAATAAGGCGAGAAAAAGATGAAGGTTTATTACCCAGTTCAATCAAACGATCTACTCTAGAGGAGAGAGCAACTCTCCAATTCACTATACTTAGAAAGTTGTTACAAGAGATTACAGATGAGTGACAAGAAAATAGCCTCCGCCTTCAGGTTCCCAAGAACAATCCTAAAGGCGCCCAAGAATTACCCTACTTTCTACCCAAGTGTTTCTAAACCTCTTCAACCTTTAATATATGAATAACTCAAATCCAAGGTGTAAACAAGTGTTTTCCAATTCCCAATAATCTTAAAAACTCCAAAAAATTTCAAAACCTTTGCCTTTCTAAGGTTTTCCTTGAGAATATCCAAAACCATATGTTATGCCTTTAAACCCTTGCTCTCCCTTTTTGCTGTAAATTCTAAGATTGTCTCACTATATTAACAAAAGAGATACATATTTATAATAGCCAAAATCCAACAAATCCCAAAACATATTTCCTTAATAATTAGAATACAAGATATTATCATAATCTTATAATATCTATCAAATATTATAAATATCTTATAATATCTCTTAGACTATATATATATATATATATATATATATATATATATATATATATATATATATATATATATATATATATATATATATATATATATATATATATATATATATATATATATATATATATATATATATATATATATATCTTATAATATCTTCTAGAATATTTTAAATATCTTTTTATATTAATTTATATGATCTCCAAATTAATATAAAATATTCTAACATTAATGAATGGATCAATGAACCAAACCGACCAAACCCGATACCCGTAAATCTCTCAGATCAGATTATTTTTCGGCTTTCTAATTTTTGTACATCTCAAAACATGTTTTCTTTCTTTATATCAACAAAGGTGTTGCAACTAGTTTTTAAATCATAGTTGCCACCCTTAGTTTTTATCCTAAGGAAGGGAATATAAAGGAATAACCCTAAAATTTAGAGATTCTAGGTTTTCGGACTCTGTCTTAGACGAAGGGAAGGTGTTAGGCACCCCTCATATACATTGTTCACAAGGATACTAGGTTTATAAGCGCGAATTTTAGGAAATAGGGTTTTATGTTTATTAGGGGAAAAAGGGTTTTAATTTTATGTAGGGGAACTCGCCACAGTTTTAATTGTATGCCTACATATTCTCTTAGGAGGAATCAGAGTCCTATTTCGTAGTTCACGGTTTGGTTGGTATTTTTTATAGATTGCGTAGAATTGATTTCGAATTATCCTTGAACCTTGTCTGGGTTGAAAATTGTGTGATGGTAGACGCAGTTCGCAGTTTGATTTGATAACAATTCTCCTTAATCCTTTTTTCGAAAATAATCTTGTAGTTTTTTATTATGTTAGTTGAAAATGATTTGAATTGTTGGTTAGCTGTTTTAAGTTGTAGAGCGGGGGAGTCTGATATAGTCTCCTCGTTACGTGGTCAGATATTGGCCATGTGTTGCTCGAATGTAGTAATTTGGGAGTTACATGGATTGTTTGATTTTTTGAATGATAAACTGGTAGACGATATGTCGATCATATCCTATTATTTATAATTAATTAATTTTGGCGTGACAGAGAGCGGAGGAAATATTTGGATTAATTTAAATTTAAAAAGGGTTTGAATTATGTACAAATAAACGTAATTTTTAACTAAATAATTAACCTAATCAATTAAATAATATAATTACTTTAACGAAAATAAAAGACCATTTTTTTATATTTGATTAATTAAATCGTAAAATAAAATTAATTGGATAAGGTTAAGGGTGCAGATTGAGATGGGGTGTTCATTGAGCAAAATGGTAAAAGAGTAAGAATTAGGCCCAACAATCCAATAATCCACATCATAAAACCCTAATTATATATATATATATATATATATATATATATATATATATATATATATATATATATATATATATATATATATATATATATATATATATATATATATATATATATATATATATATATATATATATATATATATATATATATATATATATATATATATATATATATATATATATATATATATATAAGGAATTATTTACTTACCTGAAGCAGAGGCGTCGCTGCTGCCTCTTGGTCATCTTTTGGCCATTTCAAAATTCTCAAGCCATCCAATAGGATGCCGACACTTGGCATCTAAATTTAATGAATAAAATAAAATATAGCCCATACACTTATTTTACCGTGGAAAGAGAGTTCTGACCAAAGTACATTTGTTTTTTCTCTTCCTCAAGCGTGACCCACCTTCTCAACTTCTCCTTTTCTTCCAACAAACTCATCTTTACATCTTCTCCACACAGTCAAGTATACAAACAAATAGATTTGAAAATAAAAGGGAGCTTACAAACGGGAATTCAACAGCGAGCAAGGAGGTGGTTGCAGATCAGTGATATACGGGCGAAGCACAGAGGCAATCTGGGCAGAGAGGGTCTGGTCGGAGGCTCGTGGTGCCTGCGACAGAGGCTGCTTATGATAGAGGATATGTGTGTAGTTAGTCCGACGCGATGGATGCACGGTGTTGATGTGTCAGTGCTACAGCCTGAGCTGCGGGCTTTGACTTTGAAGCACGGCGGTGGAAGTATTGTCAGCGTTGAAGACCATTTCGGAGGTGTTGCTTCATTCGGCTTTGGAAAGTTATTTTATGGTGGAGATTGCGAACAGTGGTTATTGTTATTGTTGTAACAAGCTTTGTATTGTTGAAATTGATTTTGGACAGATTTTTTTTTTAAGGTTGGATGGTGATTGTGATTCTTTTATTGTAGCTTTTTTCCTGAAAAAAATCTTTATATAAAATATAGTGATGCATATATGTTAATAAGGTTGGTGTTTGGAAATTATGCGGGTGCTGGTTAATGAAGATTCATGTTGTTGTCATATTAGTTATGAACAAATAATCTACAGATTCACAATATGTATATTCATGTTTTTTTGTTGTTATTGACAAGATATAAAAATGATGGTGTTTATGTATGTACAGAAACCTAAACATGAAAACGTTTTGACTCAGTGTAAAAATTGTTTAGTAAGGGTTCTCAAATGCTAGAAACAAGTTTGGTTAGAAATATAAAAATTTGACTTGGAGGATTTTTGTGTTTTATGTAGAAATTGTGTGTGAATATGTAAGAATGGATTATGGAGGTTTAGAAACTGTGTTGATTTGAAAAAACATGAGTAAAAATGTATGGAAGTTGCTGTAAGTGTACTGAGTGAATTAGTATCGTGAATGAGTGTAGAATTGGCTTCAAAGGTTTAAATAAAAAGAGAGTACCATCGGAGTTTCATCATTTGGTATAAAAATAAATAAATTCAATTTAAAAGAAAAATACAACTGAAAATAATCGGGGGGCCTCATATGAAATCATCGGCCAAAAAAATAGTAAAATAAACACCTATAATAATGAGAAGAAAATTTGAAAAGAAAACGTGTGTGAAATTCGTGAATGATTATTGACTTATAGATGAATTGTGGATAGTGTTGGAAATTGTCGATGAGATTGTTGTCTGAAATAGTCAACAACCCTATAATAAAAAAACAAAAATTCTAAGAATAGTGTGTGATTCTGGATGAAAAATTAGGGCAGTGAGGAGTCCTATTTATAGAGTGGGAATTAGGTTAAACCCCAAAAAGTCCAACTTTTATCTTGACCAACAAGATTAAGAATTTGAATATATTTGTGCATCAAATGAAATTCGAACCCGTGACCTTCTGCTTGCAAGTCTTTCTCCCTTACAAATTGTGCTATGTTACTTAATTGAAATAAAAAGCCAATTGCAAGTACATGAAGACGAGCAAATATTTATTTATTTAAAAATCCAAATGACCTGAAATAGATCATTATATTTTTAAATAGGTTTGGGAGTGAATATCAAATAATATTATAAAAACAATGTTTAAAATATTTTTTACTGTAGAAATAAAGGGCGGATAAATTTGGGGTAAGACAAAAGGTTTTAAGGCATATTCCAACTAATTTGTTGCGGAGTTGCAAGAAAATACACTGTATAATGAGGTCCACTATAAATTTCATAACTCACATTTTGAGCTGGTTGAATTTGGTCTACTCGTAGGGTGCCTATATTCATTGCCTTCAGTTTCTTTTCTACTTCAACAACAAATGTGTCTTCTATCCTTATTTTGTTGGTTTCTAACTTCAAATCAATAACTCCTTTAGGATTGGTTGCACACCTATCATACAACTCTAAATGCTCATTTGTAGCTATCACTTCAATTGTCTTTTTAATACCAGTGGCTGTTGAAAAATTAGTTGAGCCACTGGCTGCTATATCAATCAATTGTTTGGTCTTTATTCTAAAACCCTTAAAAAAACATCTGCATCTATTCAGTCTGATCCATATTATGTGTAGGACAAACCACTAGGATTCTTTTGAATATTTTGTAAGCATCTGTCAATGACTTACCCTCTTTCTGCTTGAAGTTCAGGATATCATATATTTTTCTCAAGAAAACTGATGCTTGAAAATACTTGTTTAAGAAGGAAATTTCCATATTTTCCCACGAAGTGATACTGCTAGCTGAGAGAGAATAAAACCACTCTTTGACATCTTCCGCTAAAGTAAACAAAAACATTCTCAACTTCTTTGCTTCACCAATGTGTCCATCAATCTTCAAGGTGGTACTCATAGTCAGAAATCTTTGCAGGTGTTTATTAGCATCTCCATTGACCTTTCTAGTTAAAGATCTCCTCTCAAGTTGAATGTAACACCCTTCTAGATCCACGTGTACTATTCGTTTAACTTACTAAATAATTCAAATAAATATCACCACTCAAGGATGTCACACTTCACATTAAACATCACAATAACAACCTTGCTCCGTAACACGGATTACATCAATTTAAAATATGCATTTGTTTATAATTCATCACTTTAATTAGAGACATCACAACGAAAGTTCATCGTCATTTATATATATATATATATATATATATATATATATATATATATATATATATATATATATATATATATATATATATATATATATATATATATATATATATATATATATATATATATATATATATATATATATATATATCATAATAATTAACTTCTCAAAATTCATACCATTGGTCTCATCAATTATTAAAACCAATTTAAACAATCAAAACCGACATAGAGTATGTAAACATCAAACAAAACATGACATCTATAAAATAGAGTGCTCCCAACCCGATGTTATATATCAGAGCAAGACACCACTAATGAAGAAAACTAAATAAATACTCTGGAGCTATCATTAACGCTTCTACAAACTACTCCTAGTCACCTGCGAGTTACCCACGTGGAGGCAACATTCAAACAAAAAGGGTGAGTAATCACCATTTATTATAAAAGACATGAGAAAAAGATTAGCAGTTACAACAACCATCAATACTTCATATTCACATATACGTCATAAAATCACATGAGCATCTTTCATCATCAAAACATCAAGTAATCACATAATTCACAATTACCATCGCATAACAACTCGTAAAAAAAAAACCCATGCAATATCACATAGAATGTTAATACAACGCATCTAACTCAAATGCATGTGGTACCGAATAATTTGATGAACAGTTGGTCATCATCCTCCAAAGATCCCCACCATAGGATCGATTTACTTTTAGAACCGGAGCATATCATAAACGCACACAATCCACACAACGGGATTGAGGCTCGTCATAAGCGGAACACCTTCCAAAATAGAGGATCACCGTCCAAAAATGCTATGAATGTATGATGCACAACAATGTCATATAAATGTGACGAAGGCTAGTCAAGTGCATCATCACTCACATAAATCATCACATATCATATATTACATATTTAGAACATGCACATCATTATAACATCATCATATTACCATCGCCACATCACGACTGTCTCATTAGCAACATCATATTCATCATTAAAAATAAAACATTTTAGCATAGCAACCATATAACAAATCTATTCCATAAGCACATAGGAAATGAAATCATACACCAAACAACTCATATGATTCTATCATATTATAGTTCAGCTCGTCAGCTTCTCTATGCTTTGAACGACGCATCAAATGAATTTTTGAAACTCAAGTTATGATGCTTTAAAAAAATTCCTGACTGCATTTCCTCTTTCTTGCCCGGTGCCCCTGGGAGCGCTCTGCCCACTGCCTCGTCGCTCGGCAACGCTGGAGCAATAGAACTTCTCCCATACACTTTTCCAGTAGCTATGCTTTTCCACCATTCTGCTCTCCAGCAGTCTCTCCTAGTGATGCTCAAATGCTCACCTCGCCCCAAGCTTGCCCGAGGATGGTCACAAACCTGCAACTTCTCAGTGCAATTTCTACATTGTCCAGTCCCATACCAGTTATGATTTTCGTACCAATTTCAGTTTAAAATGCAGAATAATCATCATATAACACGTAGCAACATAAAAATACATCGTCATATCATCTCGAACCCAAATCATGGCATACAAACATCATTAATATCGACAGTTTCATCATATTTCCATCAATTCATTCACACAACAAACCCTACATTATCCTAACCCTTCATCAATCATAATAAACAGTGATTAAACCCATTACCTTTATTTCTCTGCGAATTGATTCCCTATTCTCATTCTATTGAATCCTCTTCTTGATTCTCTATGCCCTAGCTCTTCTTTACGCTCTATCAACTTCCACGATTGTACAAAATAAACTTTCTATTCCTTAATTTATCATTTTGCCCCTAGTGTAACACCCCAATTCTACCCGGCAATTATATATGCAAATCAGAGTTATAATCATTCATGCAAACGAATCAGGATGCCACAAATTCATCTTTAAAAACACACTGCATTCACCGTGGATACATAACACTTTAAAACTTCGGATGAACTATCAGCATAGCAATTTAATCTCTTAATTCAATAATTTAAACATCTACGCAGCAGAATTCATAATAACATCTTTATCCATCGTTACAGCAACTTCAAAATAGCACATACTTCGTAACAATCAAATTAAAGTTCAACAACTAAAATCATCATTAATTAAAAGCAACAAGCGTTCATCCCCCCCCCCCCCCTCCCGAGTGTTACATATCAGAGCAATGACACTGACTCGAACTATTGAAGATATACAACCTTCACTCTCAATTACCTGCACGTTACCAACGTAAGGGTAACATTCAAACAGAAGGGGTGAGATATCTAACAACATAATAAAGCGTATGATAACCAATATATTAAATTAGATCACATAACGTCACCACTTCTCATCTTTTAATCAACAATAGTTGCAATATAAATACCAACTATAACACACATTCATCATATCAATTCTCAACTTCTTTATGCAATCATATAATACGACTCATTACTATGCAAATGCATGTGGTACCATTGGAGCAGAACTCCTATCTTAAAAATCTGCCAATAAATAGAGGCATCAACAAGGCATAAGCCTTCATCTTAATATTCGCCAATACATGCCATCTTAACGAGCATATGCTCCATCTTGAAATTCAATGTATGCGACACAATCATGAATGTAATGACAACACCATAATTATTAACATCTCAACACAACAACATTGTTGGCCAGAAGCCTACATCTTAAAAGCTCCCAATTATTAAAGGCATCTCAACATCTTTCATCAACATCGTTCATCAACATCATTTATCATCAAACATCATATATC